ATGTGCCTTGAACTTGTTGATAAATTTTGACAATAGCTAATGTAGATGGTAAATTATTAATCACAAATATTGAGTTAATTTCTATGATTTCATATTTCAATATAAAATGTTTATTTCTTACAGCACGAGACATAATAAGCACTTACTAAGTGCTTTTTGAGTAACTAACTCTACTTTTTGCAAATGGAGAAAAAGATAATTTTAGAAGTATGAGAAATGACATTTTTTTTAAAAAATGAGACATTGTAAATATCGATGAAGTGTTAAGATTACCTGCAATACAATTCCTACTGAAACAGAATACAAAATCATCATACTAACTATAATTCTCTAATGTCCAAATTCATATTTAAAACAGAAAATACTACCTTCAGATTAGCTATTAGTTATCAGACTATCTTCAATACGTACTATAATCATAATAAGGAAGGAACAAGAAGACATTCAGAAATTACACTTCATAACACTGTATATATATAATCTTCCTTTCTGGGAAATCAACATATAAATTACTATAAAATATTTAAAAGCTATGTGACCTTTTTTCAAAAGGTGACAGTCCTTCAACATAAGTTTCCCTGATCAACTGATTTTCACATACACACTATACCTCATATTACAGTTTTTAATGTGCCTATAATATCAAGGAGAAAAATTAAAACATTCATACTAAGTTAATTATCTGACTTCCAAATTCCTAAATGATTCAAAATATCAAGCCAAAATGAAGTACTTATAGCAAACACTGACCTTCCTGCTGAAATGATTTTAGAAATCACCTCACACTGTATAAATGTTATCACTATTGTAAGAAAACGTCAATATATCATATACTAAATTGCTGAATTCAAAGCTGGGGAGATTACAAAAAATGTCTATCAGGTGAAAATCTCAAAGTACAAATGTCATCTGTCAAACATACTTTGAAGACATATATGAAGACATCATACAGAACAAGAGTTAAACTTTTTCCCATTGACTCCTTTGGCAATTTAGGGAAACCTATGGATTTCAGAAAAATGGTTTTCAATGCATAAAATAAAATACATAGAATTTTAAAAGGAAGCCAATCATATTGAAATAGTTATCAAGTTAGAAAAAAAATAAAAATCAAATTCACAGACTCCACATTAAGAACGCCTGACACAGAAGACTCAAGTCAGAGTCTTTAAAAAAAATACAATGGTATCATAAAATTGAAAATACTGTTAAATATAAGAAGTTGTTACAAATGTTTTTGTAGGTAGACCATAAATTCACAGTACAACTTAGAATACCAAAAAACATTAGTATGGAAGCAAGGCCTATTAACTGAATTTCACTGGTCATGAAACATGGTACTTATAAAGATTAGTAAAAATGAATTTCAGTTATTAAAATTGTCATAAACTTCTTACAGATACAAATATGTACAAGACTTGATTCTCTCTCATAGTTTTTCGAAAAATATATACCTTACTGAGCAGAACAACTTGGCTTCTTTGAAGTTTTGTATACATATATATGTATATGATGTATATGTGTGTGTGTGTGTGTGTGTGTGTGTGTACACACACACACACACACACACATTTAAATGTAGAGGAGACAGAAAATTGTTCTTCCCCATGCCTCACCTTCCCACAAAGAAATATCAGCAGCTTTTGTCTCCATACATAGTTTTTTTTTTCCCTAGCAAGGAAGGAGGGCAAATCTTTGTTTGACAAAACCTTTTACCAACTCTCCCAAAGCTGTCCCTTTCTCTTCACCCCTACTGCCACAGTCTTACTTCAGGCTCTGAACATCTTTTACCTAGGTCGAGACTAGATTACTAGCAATTACCTAGATTACTGCCAATTCATCTTCTGGGAGCTCTTCATCTCCAACTATTCCATATTTCCACTGCAAAAGTTATCTCTCGAATTAACATTCTGACTATGCCATACACCCATCCCACTAAAGATTTATGGATACTTAGCCTCTGCTTCAAAAGTTTTTAGATAGATACCCCTAGAACTTCTCAATTCCCCCTATCTACCTTTCTACTTCTATCAAGTCAAAAACTCTCAATATTTCTTTCAAATATATAATCCACATTATTCAAACTTATATCCCCTTTCCACAATGCAAGCTCAATTACACATAATACCAATAAAGTAATTGTATACTTAGCGAATTTGTTCAGTCGGTTGCATCTGTCAGCGTTTTTAGATTGCAAGCCCCTAAAGGGTAAAGACTGTATCTTTGCAGATACTTTGTACAATGCTTCTATACTTTTACTGAACATTCCAGCCTCCATTGTTAACTCCTGATGCTGGCTCTCTTACAGGGCTTAACATTCAGAAGGTAGAGTGTAGGATAAACAGAAGAACCAGTTTACATTCAATCACAGATAATTTTGCAGGCAGATTCTTTGTTTTAACTTCACTAATTCCAGGAAACCTGGATGAATCTCAGCACCACTTAACAGTTTCAGCACCAAGAGGAAAGACCAGCGCACCTTCCGACTTGGGGGTTTCCTTCTGAAAAATTCATTTGGACTAGCTTCTCTGCCAGGGAGCTTTCAATAAGAAAAATTAAACAGACCCGAGTATCAGCATCACTTACTCAGGAGGGAGGGTATCCCTTTCCACATAATGAAAATAATCAATAAGCGCAAGTCTGAATTAAAAAAAAAAAGCCGGTACTTTCGGGTGTCTTTCTACCCAGTAGCCTAAGAAATTTTTCTACCTCAAAATAAAACGAATTGCAATGACTTTAGTCCTTCCTAGAGCACGATCTCAGCCTTGTCATGTCTGGCCATACGTCGGGGAGGGAAGTAGTGAAGCTAGGATTCTCATCCACATCGTAATTTAATTTTCCGTAAGTCTCAAAACCAGAGGTTCATCACTGAGTCTGCTTGTGTTTCCTTCAGGCCAAATACCAAAGATACCCGGGTCCTTTAACCCATCTCACCATCTCTTTATTACACAGAAACACAACTATAGAAACTGAAGCACAACAAAAAAAACCTCCAGAAATTATTCACTTGCTATTTATTTATCCTGGGAGTCGTGTCCTGCAGCAACTGCCTGCATATCGCCGAACAGAGGGCTATCACCCAAATATAACGCAACCGAATCAGACATGCAGAGCACACACAGCCTCGGAGAGGGAGGTAAACGCGGGCCGGAGGAAAAGTGCGCCTTTTACCAGCCTGGCCCTTCCACCAGCTGGGGGATGGGGATGCGTGCGCTAAAGAGGACTGGGGGAATCCCGAGCCAGGTGGGGGCCGGAGTGGTAAGAGACCAGGATGGGACCCCCTTGTCGGGGTAGAGCACAAAGCTGTTGGAGGAAAATGAGGGGGGTGGGGAGTGAAAAAGGTCCCTTCTCAAGGAGGCAAAATGCAGATTCCATCACCTGTTCCCAAGCAAGGTGCTTCCTCTCCTCCCTAGGGGAGCGACCGGCCAAAAGGTGACAGGTGGGGCGGTAACAGAGTTTGGCCAGGCGAGCACTCTCGATCGTGTCCAGCGAAAGCCTCGGTCAACCATGGCCGGAGCGGCACCGCAGCCGCCGGGTGGAGAGAGGGGATAGGAGGGAAGGGAAAAATCAGGGAAGGGGCGGACGCTGGATCTCTCCCTACTCCCCCCCACACACATACGCACACCACACACACACACACACACACGCACACACACACACACACACACACACACACACACACACACACACACACACGCCCGGAGGATGCGCTCCAGCCGGTGAGGGGCGCACGCAGGGCTTCCCAATGCGGGGTCCCAGCACGCCGGGCTCCCTCCCTAGCCGCACGCTCGGTGCCCCGCAGCGCCGGCCCCCGAGCTCTCCCTGGAGGCCGGGGACTCCGGCTCCGGCGTCGGCGGCGACAGCGGCAGCGCCGGGCCCTGACACGCTGCGGGGGCGGCAGCAGCTCCCAGGGGAGAGGGAGGGGGGAGACCCCCGGGGATACCCCAACCCCCGGCAGCGCCGCCGACTGTCTGTCAGTCAGTCCCCCCTCCTCCACCTCCGCGATCCCCCCCGCCCCGCTTCTCCCAGGGGCCGCAGAGAGGAGCCGCCACCGGCGAGAAGCCCGAGGCGGAGCCGGGGACGCGGCCGAGGGGGTCCCAGCATCCCCCACCTGCCGGTTACCTGTGAGGACCCCGACGCGGATTTGGTGGTCGTGGTTGGTGAGGATCATTCCCTCGGTCGCCATATTTCCCAGCGCAGTCACCTCACAGGCAGGAGCCGAGAGAAACTCAGGGCCCGGAGCGCGCGGGGCCGGGAGCGCGAGAGTGAGCGGGGAGGGAGCGCGCGAGCGAGGAGGAGGGAGGAGGGGGGAAGGAGGAAGAGGAGGAGGGACAGGGAGGAGGAGGGACAGGGAGGAGGAGGAGGAAAGGCAGGAGGAGGGAAGAAGGGGGGGCGTGGGGACTAGAGGCGACTTGGCACTGGCGGCCGCGAGGGAAAGGACGAAGAGGAGGAGGAGTCAGAGCGCGTGACTACGGAGATTGGGGGTCGAAGGCTGCAAGGGGGGCAAAGAGCCACGAGAGGAGGCTGGGAGGCCGGGGCAGGGGAAACGGGGGGGGAAGTTCGCTGACGCGCGTGCGCCCCTTGAGCACCCGCGCGAGCGGAGTCCGGGCGGGAACTGAGGACTCCTGGAAGAGAAGAGCCCCGGTCAGGCGAGGCTGGGGCGGCAGCAGCAGCAGTTGGGATCACACTCTCGGGAGGCACAGGACTTGGGGTGGTCTGTCGGAGAAGTGGGAGCCTCTGGGAGCGCGTGTGCCGGTGGGGAGTTTCCGGGGGTGGCTGAGGTGGCTGGGCCGGGGTTGGGGGGGCGGAGTCTCGGGCGGGGATGAAGAACCAGTGGGAGCGTGGAGAGGAGGTGGTGAGGGGCGTGACTGAGGGACTACACGGGTTAGGAAACCTGCACGAGCGAGAGACCGAACGTGGCCCCGCGCGCCTGCCTTGGTAGGCCGGGGGGTTGGGGGGGGGAGGTAAGTGGGAAATTGACGCGGGAGCGCGCTGAACGGTCATCCTAAAAGGAGTCCCAGACAAAAGCAATCCTCCGCCGAGCAGAGATTTTTTTTTTTTGGAAGATGCCACGGAACTCTCTCCCTAGTCCCCATCCTGTTCCTTTTGCCAGAGGGGTTGGGGGCGGTGCAGTCTCTGCCTTGGAGATCCTGGAGGGTGTTTCGAGAACACGAAGGACCTCTTGCATGTAGGGTAATCGAGGCGTAGGTTTCCTGTGGGTTGCACGCACTGCCCTTGGGGAGCTGTCGCCCACACCCCGGGAGGCGGGGGAGAGCCCTGTGGGGAGCCTGGAAGAAGCTTTGAAGGTTGCGTGGGTGGGATGAGGACGTCGAATACTGGCGGCACGGAGACGCCTGGGAGAAGAAGGTATCTCTTAGACAACCTGGTTTCTTCAGCGATGCACTTTGCGGTGATTCCTGGGCATCCCAGCAGCTTCGTGATTTAGCGTCATTTCCCTCCTTTAGCACTCCTGACATTCCTTGGGTTTCCCATGCAGAAAAAAAATGGGGAATAAACCTATTTACCGAAAGGAATGTTTGATTAGAGAGAAAAGAAAATTAGACAAGGGATTTTTAACCTGGGGTGTGTGAATTGGAGTCTATTACATATATATATATATACACACACACACATACATATATACACACTTGTGTAGATACATGTGTATATATGCATATATGTGCATGTGAATGCATACATATACACACGTACATATGATATAACTGGTTCCTTTATAACCCTATGTAATGCATTTTGAAACTTGGTTTTTGGGGTTTTGGGTTTTTTTTTTCAGAAGTGGTCTGTACACAGCCAGAGGGCTCAGCCACACACAAAAAAAGCTGGGATCCCCAGTTCTAGGCCCTCCTAATTGAATTGGAAATGGAATCCAGACCTTCTGAATTCCAGTTAAAAACCATTCTGTTAATTGTTTATGTGATATTACGACCCAATGAATTATCGCAAAGATAAACTCTGGTAATAATAGCTAGCATTTACATAGCATTTAAAGATTTGGAAAGCACCGTGCACATATCTCATTTTATCCTGACGACCCTATGAGGTAAGGAGGACTCTGAGGCTGAGAGAGGTTAAGCATAGGATCACAGAGCTAGTGTCTGAGGCAGCATGTGTTTGAACTCAAATCATTCTGAGTCAAAGTCCAGCACTCTTACCCACTGATCTATCCAGCTGCTTTTTATTTTCCTGTGCTTTCTATGAAATATGTAAACCCGTGGTAATTTTTTATTATTCTCTGTCACTCTTCCCTGCTGTGTTGGCACTGGGGATACAAAAAAAGGCAAAAGAAAGCCCCTGCCCCCAAGGAGCTGGTAGTCTGGTTATATAACCAATATGTATAAATAAGTTATATACAGGATAAATAGGAAATAGTTGAGAGAAAACATTAGAATTAGAGGGGTTGGGAAAGGCTTCTTGTGGAAGATGGGATTTTAGTTGGGACATAAAGCAGAGAAAGTAGTAGGCAGAGAGCATTCCAGGCCTGGAGAGTAGAGTAAGGTGTAAGAAGACTTGGAAAGGTAGGAAGGGCTTTGAATGCCAGAGCATTTTGTTAACTTTACCAGACCTGCACTTTAGGAAAATCACTGTTATAGTTGAATGGAGGATGGACTGGAGTGGGAAGACACCTGAAGCAGGCCGACTCAGTAGTAGGCTGTTGCAGTGATCCAGGCATGTAGTGATTAGAGCCCCGCCAGAGTGGTAGAAGTGTAAAAGAGAAGGGAACATATTGGAGGGATGTTACAGAATTGAAATCAACACGCCTTGGTGGGGGAGGGGGAGAGTTGTGAGAGATGATGAGAACTTGAGGATAACATCTAGGTTTCAATCCCCAGGGACTGGGAGGATAATGTCCTCTATGGTAATAGTGAAGATGGGGTGGATGGGGAACGGTTTAGAGGGAAAGATAATGAGTTCAGTTTTGTCCTTCACTTTTTCCAAATGGCATGATTTTTTAAAAAATCTGTTCTATTAAAAATTTGAGGTTGAAAAAAAACCCCAACATACCATTTTAAGGGAAAACATTTTAGTAGAGTGTTTTTTAGAAGCCCTTTGAGGTTAATTATCCTTCCCGTGACCCACACTTTAAATTTGTTTGTACACGTGTAAGAGGTGAACAGTTAATATGGTGGTGAATGAATTATTCCAGTGGAGCAGAGCCAATATTTTTACATTGTTCCAACTCTAAAGATTCAGTTGGGTAGGCCCTTAGTAAATGTTTAGCTCCATTGAGATAATGGAGGGAAACATAAGTGAATTCAACTGATAAGATAAATTAATTTATACTTATATAGCCCCATGTTGTGTGTGTATGTATATGTGAAAATACTTTATTCATGGATTAAAATGTCAGGTGGGTATAATGAACTCAAAACTTATCTATCACCACAGTCATCTCTTTATAGATATAACCTCTGAGAACAATTTTCTCTTTTTCAAACCAAGTAAAAAGAGTAAAGAGATACACAGCTTGATACACACCTCAGCAAAATATCCAAGTTGTTTTCCCCCCTTTTTGTGAATGTGAAATCAACTAAAAATTTGAATTTCTCACTTGGAAGGTGCTAGTTAAAAAGACCTGGGTTGTAGTGCCAGCTCTCCTACTTGCTAACTGTGACTTTGGACAAGTCAAACTCTGGGTCTTAGTTTCCTCATCTGTAAAATTAGGAGGTGGATTAGATGGTCTCAAGTCACATTCTAGTCATATAATTCAGTGTTTTGATGCAGAAACTAGTTGCTGCCTCAATTACATTTAACAAAGGCCTGCTACAAAATAGCAATATCTTAGGATCAGAGGGCTTTCTTTGTTCTTTGTAAAGTCCTTAACAGAATGCTAAGCCTAATGAATTCTAGTAAAATTGATTTGAGAATGAATATAAAATTTATCTTAAACTTTAATACTTAGGCAAACATTTTATATCCCTGACATTTTAAGCAGTATGTTTTTGAGGCAAATATTTGTGTTAGAATTTATCATTAATAGAATTCAGTTCTGTATACATATCTCTTATTTATAATGCCAGTGATCTCTGGGAAAATTCAATAACCTTTAACAAATAAAATATTACAGAAAAATTAATTCATTGGCCTGCTTATTAGTGTGACTTCCTGTTACTGAGGGTTACCGAATGAAGCTGCAAAATATCATCCAATGCCAAACATGTATTGCTTCCCCCAAACTTATTTCTTCTACCAACAGGGTGCATTCTGGCATCACTCCTGAATCCCTTCAGGAAATTAAATGTATTCGATCAAAATAAAATTATTGGAGAAATGAGAGGAAAGGTGAGTCCTATTTTATCCACAAACATCTTAAAAGTTATAATGTAGAAAATTAACCTGGAAGCAAAAGGGAAAAAATAAATCTTTATGTTAAGAGTTAGAAATGAATGAACACATCTCCTTCCTCTTTTAAGACTCCTGCAGTAGAAAGGTAGATACCTAGGTGCATCTTGGCTGCCAAAGACTTAAAATGGAGAAGAGATCACAGTGTGTAAATGAGATTTCACTGGAAAGATAACCTTCTTCCTACAGAATATGTGATTTAAGTTTTTTCTAGAAGGAGTAATAGGTTTGCCTTGTGAGGAAAGCACTTCGAAAACTTTAAAGCATTATACAAATATTTAATTGTGAATTGAGCTATGTGTTGTAGTCTCAGTTCCCTGACCTCTAATCATTAATCACATATTTTCAAGATTGCAATATACTGGAAAATCACAGAATTTCAAAGTTGGAAGAGATTGTAGCAGCCATCTATTCCAATCCAGAACAACAACAAAAATCCTTACTGCCACACACACAAAAAAAATTGGTCATCTAACTTTTCCTTTAAGACTTCCAGTTAGGGGGAACCCACAGTGTCTCAAGGCATCCCATTCCACTTTTGGATAGCTTTAAATAGTTACATTTTCCTTACTTCATTTCATTAGCACCATATATATATATGAGATGGGGGGGGGTAGTTTTGATTTTTTTTTCACCTCTACAAGAATATTCACATATTCAGTTTTGCTTTCAGTTCCCCCTCCCCATGGATGACATTAGATGCCCATCGGGATGGGCCCACAGCAATTTTACTCCTAAAGTATCATAGTACCTTTAAATTCATTATTTTTAACCCAACTTATTCGATATTTTTATCAGAGTGAATATTTTCTTTTTTTTTTCTTTTTTTAAGGCAATTGGGGTTAAGTGACTTGCCCAGGGTCACACAGCTAGTAAGTGTCAAGTATTTGGTCTGAGTCCGGATTTGAACTCAGGTCCTCCTGACTTCAGGGCCGGTGCTCTATCCACTGCGCCACCTAGCTGCCCCTAGAGTGAATATTTTCACAAGTAAAAATGAAGAGATGTGGTTGCATAAATGTGATTGGAGTGGTGGTTTAGAAAGCAGATAAGCAATAACTGAGAACTTCGAGTATCACATTTAAATATTTACTCATTCAATAAACACTTATTAAGTGTCGCTATGTGCCAAGCACTGTATTAAGCATTAAGGATACAAAGAAAGGCAAAAGACAGCCCCTGCTCTCAAGGAGCTCACAATCCAATGGCAGCATGAAAACAACGCTGTACAAACAAGCTATACACAGGATGAATTGAAAATAATCAGCAGAGAGAAGGCACTAGAATTCAGGTACCCTCGGAGGGGCTTCCTGTAGGGATTTTAGCTGGGACTTTAAGGAAGCCAGCAAGTGGAAAGTGCTAGGAAAGCATCCCAAGTATGGGGCAGCTAGTGAAAATACTTGGAGTCAGAAGATGGAGTTTTTATTTGAAAAACAGTGAGGATATAGTACAAATATTTCTTTTAACTGAATCCTTTAGTTTTCTTTTCCTGTTTGTAGTCGGAGTTTCCGAGAACATCATTTCAGATAAATCTGTCAGCCAATAGGATGTAATATTTCTAATGGAACGTAAGCTTCCTGAGGTCAGGAACGTTTTATGTTTATATCTCCAGGGCTTACTTAGCACACTGGACACACTTGATCATTGAATGAATGACTGAATTTGGTAACTGTGCTACTTGAAGGTCTCATCCTGGTTGTAGTGACAGGTTTTGAGTCCTTACGAGCACAGTTGCAGTCATACATAAAATGTGCAAACCACTCACACATTGTTACTCCAGACTGGCCGACTGGCCTGCCAGTTGTGTTTCCTATATATGGTATTCCGCTTTGCAGCTTCTTGCCTTTACACGAGTGGCCACCACATCTGAAATATAAACCTTTCTCCCCTCTACTTTGTAGAGTCTATAGCTGTCTTCAGAAAACAAGCTAGATGCCACTTCCTACACAAGGTCTCTCCTGATTCCCCCCAGTTGCACTCATCCCTCCTTGAAATTACCTTGTGTATACTTTTCATTTTACTTACCAAAGTTCATGCTTTCCCCAGTAGAATGTAAACTCCCTGGGGGCAGGGACTGTTTCATTGCCGTAGTATATCATGTATACCTCAAAATGATAACCA